CACTGTGGGGCCAGACTGTGGAAGAAAAGGCCTGGCCAAGCAGAGCGAGGGCAAAGGCACAAGATCCCTGCTCCTGTGAGGTTTACAGGGCTGCAGTCAATGCAGAGGTTTTGTTCCGGAGCCCTCTTTGATGCTACTGAGGAATTTCCTGTAACAGAAAGCAAAACAAATAAACAAATAAACAAATATACATCAGAAGAATCATTAATGTGGGGAAGAAAACAGTGATCCTTCAGTGTCTGTATGACATTCAAGGCATAATGCAGTCAGCAGTGGCCTCAGAGGCATCATCTATGGGTAAGAATCTGGGGATGTTTAACAAGGTGCTGGAGAAAACAGGGATGAACAAGACCTCATGCATGCATATGTTAACATGAGTGCAAAGGAAAATCCCAAGGAGACTTTTCCCTCCTGCCTGTTCTGGCCCTTCCCCTGCCTGGCCACACGGCCCTGTGGTCAATGCACAGGTACTGCCCCGTGGCCTCACTGGTGCCTTGCCGTTAGCATGAGTGTTTCCTCCTGCTACACAGCCAGAGGGTGAAAAATAACCAGGCTTTAAAGCTCATCTACGCGGTGTCTTCCCCCTCCAGAGGATAATAAGCTGCTTTTAATATTTGACATGTTTATTAACAGATGCAGTTGTGACAGCTGATGACTTCATATGCCAGTTACCACTGAAATGTTAGTAATAACTGGGAATTAGCAGTCATAAATAAAAGTGACTACAAAGAAAACGAGATGTTGTGTCACTCTGCAGTAATTTACTGGGCCCCGTTGGCTCTGGCCGGGCTGGGGCAGGTCCGCGGCTCCACTCCGGGTTTTGCAGCAGCCGCGCAATTTGGCTGCTCGAGCTCAGGGGTGGTACCCGCGGATGGAATTCCCTCGTGCAGGAGTTCGCTGGATGCCTTTGCGGAGCTGGATCCTCTGGTAATAATCACAAGGAGCCCCCGACTGGACGCGCGGGGATGGAGCCCACGGCGCGGGGCCCGGGGACGGCGGCGGCGCGGGCGGCGGGGCTGATGGAGCCTGCGGCCGCCCGGGCACTGCCCGCGCGCTGAGCGCCCTCGGAGCCCGCCCGGAGCCGGCCATGCGCCCGCCGCGCCGCCCCGCTGGCCCCGCCAGCCCCTAGCGCCCCGCGGAGCTGCAGCCTCCAGGAGCTTCGCCGCCGGGAGAGCAGTAGCGCCTTCGGCGGGGAGGCGACCGTGACGAGCGGAGGTAAGGGTTGCCCCGGGCGCCGCCGGCCGCCGCTGATCCCGCCTCTCTCCTGCCCCGGCCCGGCCCGGCCCGGCGGGAGCTCCTCCGCCAGCCCCGCAGCCCGGCGGCATCGGCGCTGTTGGAGCTGCTGGGGCTGCGGAGCTCCCCGCGGCACCGCCCGCAGCAGTCGCGGGGCTCGGAGCTGGGGCTCGTCTCGGCGGGGCGCGGGGCTCCGCCACCATGGGCGGCTCTGCCTGCACCGAGCTCCGCGTCCTCCATTCGGGGAATCCGCGCTCGCGGGGCGCGGGGTCCCGCTCGGGCTCCCGCCGCCTCTCGGCGCTGCAGCGGGGTCCAGTGCCCGGCCGAGGGTGCTCGGCGCTGAGCCCCGTGCTCGGCGAGGGTCGCGGCTGCCCCGAGTTCTGGAGCTCGGTCCTGACTCCCACCTCTCGCCGACCTCGCAGCTCCTCTGGGATCTCTCCGAGAGGCAGGTGCTGCTCGTGGCCGTTTCGTTCCCTGCCTGGCCTGGAGCCCTGGGCTTCGGCTCCGATCTTGGCCAAGGAAAGCAACGAGCACCAGGGCGTGCAGCCTGTGGGGCTCCTGCAAGCCCTGGCAGCTTGCTAGCATGAAACGATCAGAGCCAGTCCTGGACTCTGCCACAAGCGCTCGGAGGCAGGAGCAAGCAGGCAGGGTGTTGCGTGGAGCAGGTGCAGCTTAGAGGGACAGTGCAGCTGTGACCGTGAGCATTGAGCATTTGCTCCTGCTCTGCACTTGGCCAGTGCTGCAGTGCCCCTGCTCCCACGTCCTGGAGGGGCTGCCACCCTGCACGGCACCCATCACCGTGGTCTCTCTGCCCACACACTTGCTGGGCACTCCACTTTATGACCATGGCACTCCCAAGATGTTTGGGAGCAATTTGGAGGGAAGAGCCACGCTGGTCCCAGCTGCTCCTGCCTTGCTCTGATGGGACAGAGGGAGCCGCCCGGCTGGGATGTGTGCCCTGCTGGCCCGCGGCAGCCGGTGGAAGGAGTCAGACCTCAGCAATGCTGCGGGAGCTCTGCTGCCAGATCACTTCATATTATTTTATTTTTTCGTTGAAGTTTATGGGGTAGGGATTTTGCAGAATTTGGCATTCGGATATCAGATCAAATGAAGACCTTCTGGTTCGGAAATTTCACTTAATGCAGCCTCTTTTTCTTGCTGCAAGGATCAGGCAGAACAAAGTGGCTCTGCATGTGCACGGGGAGCACGAGGTGCGTGCTGGCAGTGGCGCTGGAGCCGCCTCGCGCTCCCTGTCCCAGTCCGAAGCACAGCAGCCCCGTCCTGCCTTCCCGCAAGGTCCCTCCTCGCTCAGTGATGCTGAGTGGTGCTAGAAACTGCTCAGCCCCTCACTGCATGGGAGATGCAAAATGGGATGCAGAAACACCTGCTGTGCAGGAGTGCAGGACCGGGGCAGGTGCCATCCCGGTGCCACGCAGGAGTGATGCAAGACAGGGCTTGGGGCTTTGCAGGAGCAGTGTGAAACCCCTCCTGCCTGCAGATTTTCACCCAAAATAAGTTACCACCCATTGCTGCAATGCTCTTTGCATGCTGCCGCAGCTCCTGCAGCATCCACGCATACACCATGCTTGGGATGAATCTGCAAAGCCTTGTCCTATTTATGACCCTGCATGCAAACATCTTTGTGGTGATCAGTGGATGTTTTCTCTAGACTAATAAATTTTAACAAACATTGCAAAAATTGGTGGACGGTGGTGCTGCAGAGGCTGGTGCTACGCAGCTGCTTTATGCATTGTGCATGTGCCAGCAGCAGCATGGGGCTCTGCAGCAAGTCATCCATGCATCAAGATCAGAGCAGCCTAAGCCTGAAAAATTCAGTAGCAAGGGGGTGCGAGGAACTGAAAGCAAGATTGGAAAATGCCTAAATTCATGTAATTTGCTTTCCTTGCATGCAGACAGGCTGCCAAAACAAAATGCACCAGGTAGAGGGATGCAACGTGGGCCCTTTCCTCCAGCCCTGCGTCCTGGGGATGCAGGTTCCCCAGAGCTTGTGGCTGGGGCCCAGGTAGCCAAGGGCCCTTCATGGGCTTTGATATCACCCCTGCCGTGATCGGACTGTGTCCTGCCTCCAGCCCCCACCCAAGCATCTGGTCCTTCTCTCCTGGCTTCAGTAAACCTTTGGAGAGCCCGTTTACATTACTGATAGCTTGAAACATTGGGCAAGAGGCAATATATCAGCAATTTCGTTATTGCGGATTAGGTCTCCAATATCCCAGAGATGTAACGTTGCTCTGCCTCACCTTGTGTGTAGGAGGACTAATGGTAAATTATCTGGATAGTTTACATTTTCTGGTTTGCATCCGAGCTCCCAAGGACCAATTTATCCTGATTGAATTGCAAACAAGGCTTACTGTCATCCCGGGTGCAGGGGCCAGGGCTCTCTATAAAGGAATTCAGAGCAATCCGGGTTACCCCAAATTCTTCCAGTCGATGGGATAATGGCATAAATCCTGCTAATGTTTAGACTGGAGATTGTTTGCAGCAACCTGAGCTTGACTGATGGCCAAGCATTGGAAAGAGCTGCGACCCATGCCCGAGGGGCAGGTCGGAAGAGCTGGAAATGGCTCCGGTGGCAGCCCAGCGTGGGCACAGAGTGGGCACTGCCCTGTGCTGGGCACAGGGAGCATCGTGTGGAGGGATTTTCCGGTCACTGATTTTGACAGGACTTCCTGTGGTCGGGATGCGGCCGCTCGGCCAGAGCCCAGGCTCTCTTGGCCACAGCGCAAGGCAATGCAGGGAAGTATCTGTCTCTGTCCATGAGCTCCGGCTGCCCCGGTGAGCCCTGGGGATGGAAACCGCGGAGGCAGGAGCCTCCCGCTGGCTCTTGGCTCACCGGGCTGTTCTTGCCGCTGTCCCTGCAGCAAGTAGAGCTCACCTCGGCCACGGGTGTTGTGTAAATACTGTGGACACGGAGCAGGATCAGCGTGTACTTCCTGAGCGTGCCCGCACACTGAGCACTGCTGCCGTTAGGGCACAGACCTTGCCCGGCTGAGGCAGGGCTGCGGTCGCCTGCGCCGCAGGGCTGCGCTCATGCGAGGCCACTGCGGCAGCCGGTCCCATCTCCAGCACGTGGTCACCTCCAGTGAGCAGCAAACTGGGTTTATGCAAGCGAGTAATTACTTATCCATAACCCTGGACGAGGCAGTGGGATGCAAGGACCTGCAAGGCGTCGGCAGCACTTGGGGTGATCCAGCAGCAGTGGCTTCAAGGAGCTGCCAGCCTGCAGGAATTGCCCTTTCCCAGGGGTGTTTTCCTGCTGGTTGCAGCTTCTCCCTGCTCCTCACATGGATCGCAGAGTGCCCCGATGCCTCTGTGGCAGATGATGCCCCATGCGAAGCACTCGCAGCATATTGCAGGTCCCACTCTTTCCCCACATCAGCTGCCCGTGAGCTTGGCAGCATGCAGCACCCATCTGCTCATTACCCAGCTGCAGCCGAGGGCAATGGCCAGTGCTTTCGCATGTTACAGCTATAACTGTGTTCAGCATCAGCAAACAGCAAAATTGCACCATGCATTTCTATGGGAATGGTGCTCACTGCTGCTGAGCAGAGCAGGGAGTGGCAGGCGAGCATGGTGGGGAATCTCCCCCATGTGCTGCTGCTCCAGCTTTGCCCAAGGGCTTTTGTGCCCCCTCTTTTGTACCCAGCCAAGTGCTTGCAGGAGTGATGCAAACAGCGTCCATTATCTGCCGAAATGACCCTGCTCTCTGTTCCCTTTCCAGGTCCAGGGCTCACACGCAGACCTGACACGCAGCTGGCACCCGTGGCCCGAGCCCCCGCATGGGACTAGCCCCCCGCGCTCCCTATGGGGCTGGCAGCAGAGCCGTGCGGTCCGCAACCTGAGCTGCATGTGGCCCACGTTGGCGCTCGCGGATATGGTCCCGTGCCTGGCTCCGCGCGCAGCCACTCGTGCCTGATCCAGCCCAAGACTCGCTAGCAGCAGCAGCGCCAGCTCCTGCAGCTCCGACCTCCCTGCAACGTGGGGGCTGCCACGTGGGGGCTACTATGCAGCTTGGACTCTTTGTGGCGGTGCTGTTTCTGAACTTCATGGATCTGGCGGGCAGCAGCAAAGTGCTGAAGGGCAAGAGGCAAAGGCGAAGTACGTACACGGCGCTCTGCTCTCCCCTGGGCCACCAATGCAGGCTGTGAATCACCTAGTGCACAGGCAGCCAAGGCAGCCAAGGCAGCCTCGGGGTGCACAGCACCTATAGGTGCCTACTTTTAGGAGTGCTGCTGTGCAATCGCAGTCACCCCAGCCAGCTACACCCAGGTGTAACACCAGCAAACTGTGTTGACAGGCTGCTGTGTGGGGTTACCCTCACTTATGCAAGCTGTTTTTCACCTGGTTTATGTTAAAACCAATTTAAGCTGTGTTTTATATAAGGTATCTTACATTAAAACAGTGAGTGTTGACCTCAGAGGGAAGATGGGGAGCTCAGTGCCGCAGGCATGTGACGATGCTGCATGGTGCAGGGGATGCAGTGGGGCTCCTGGCATCCCATGGGGACCACGGTCTGGACCTGGCAAGCGGCCCCCACCGGCTCGGAGCACCGGCTCCACGTGGGCAGGGACTGGCTCTGCTTTCTGTTCCATTTTCCCGCCTGGAGCCACCCGCATCCCGGCAGGACCTGGAGCTGCAGCCATGTCGCTGCTGGCTGCGCAGGAGGGATGGGGCGGTTTCTCTGCCTCTCAGCCGAACACGTGAGCGCTCTGGCGCACCGTGCTTGCTCTTGCGGGCTAGTAAAGACGGCATTTAACAACATAACACTTTTGTAAATACACAGCCACTCTATAAATAAGGATGCTGCTTGCATAATAAGCTTATAAAAATAACCTGTACTCTAGCCTGCAAAGAATGCCCTCGCTTTCAAAACAAGCAGCATTTCGTATGATAATTGAAAGCAGAAAATTCTCAAGACACGGGATTGAGTGTTTTCCTTGGCCGGAGCTGTGGCACTGGGAGCACATCTCTCTCTTGAGCGCTGTCACCGGTGTCGCCGGGCACATGCAGCGTGAGAGGGGCTGCGGTGTGAGACGGCGTGGTGCACGCCATGGTGCTGAGCACCGGCTCTCTCTTGCATTGCAGTTAGCACCGAGCTTAGCCAGGGCTGCGCACGAGGCTGCGACCTGTGCTCCGAGTTCAATGGGTGCCTACGATGTTCCCCCAAGCTCTTCATCCTGCTGGAGAGAAACGACATCCGCCAGATTGGCATCTGCCTGCCCTCCTGTCCGCTGGGGTACTTTGGCCTTCGCAATACAGACATGAACAAGTGCATCAGTGAGTACTGGGCGCCTTGCCCCGGGTCGGGTGGGGTGAAACATGGCCGTGAGTGCGGGGAGGAGCCGCTGCTGTGTGGGACGGGGCTCGCCCAGGAACTGTCTCCATTCCCTGCAATGATGTTGCCTGAGCACCGTACAGGCAGCATCCTGTGTGGAAGCCAGGGAAGGAGGATGCTCTGAGTAGCCTCCATGTCCCATAGCCGACCACCACGCGGGCAGAGCCCCCGGGGCCGAGTCCCTTGGACCCCATGGACAGGGCAGTCCTGCAGGCTCAAGGATCCCTGCTACTAGAGCTGGGATCTCCTTCTCCAAGAGGCAGAAGCAGGAGGGAAATACTGCCAGCGTTGGGACCTCCTTGCCCATGTCCCTTGCTGCTGTCTGCTGCCCGGTCCACATAAAGAAGTAGCTTTCTGAAGGAGATCCTTGGCCTGGAGCCGCCTCTTTCGGCCTGAGCAGCGGGAAGGAAGCTGGACCTGGAAAAACGTGATCATTTCCCTGGCAGCTTTGTGCAAGCCACCTCATGGCCAGCTTTCCGCCCGACCCCACTCCTTTGCAGCCTCTGCTGGGGCCTCAACTGCAGCCATTGGCACTGGATCTTATTCCTTGCACTTTTCCACCGTGGCCGGCTGAGGTTCAGGCTGAACACAAGCCCAGACCTTCCTCTCATCCCATTTCAAGCTGGCAGTGGCCGCGGTGGCTCTATGAGCTGCAGCGCAGGGCTCTGCCCTGAACGAGGAGCAGAGCAGAGGCAGTTGACCCCTAGCAGATGCACTGGCACCGGCAGGACGGCCAGAGAAGCTGTTTGCTCCCGGCAGGCGACTTGACAGCTTTGTGTTTGCTCCCCAGAATGCAAAATCGAGAACTGTGAGTCCTGCTTCAGTCGAAACTTTTGCACAAAGTGTAAGGAAGGTTTGTATTTGCACAAAGGGAGATGCTATGTCACCTGCCCCGAAGGCTACTCCGCAACTAATGGCACCATGGAATGCAGCAGTCCCGGTAAGCGCCACTTGGGCTGTCCCCCCCGCTCCTCCAGTGCGCATCGGTGTCTTGCTGCCCATTGCTCGCTGGCGTTTTCCTGCTTGCACTCCCGGTGTTTTCTGCGGCTGTGTCGGAGGGTGCATGCGCGAGTCTCGCGCGCTGCAGCCGCGGGCGGGAGGGCGGCCATGGGACACAGCAGTGGCGCTGACTGGGGCTCTCCTCGCCACGCAGCGCAATGTGAGATGAGCGAGTGGGGGCCCTGGGGCCCCTGCTCCAAGAAAAGGAAGCTCTGTGGCTTCAAGAAGGGCAACGAGGACCGGACGCGGAGGATCTTGCAGGCGCCGTCTGGGGATGCTTCGCTGTGCCCGGCCACCACCGAGGTGCGCAGGTGCACAGTGCAGAAGAGCCAGTGCCCCGAAGGTGAGCGGGAGCATGCGGGGCGGCCCCGGGGGCCAGCAGCTGCGGGCGCCGCTCGCCACGCCAGCCGTGCCTGGCCGGGAGCCTCACTGCCGCCCTTTGCTCCGCCGCAGGGAAAAGAAAGAGGAAAGAGGAGCAAGGAAAGCAAGACAACGTGAATGGGAACAGAAACCGGAAAGACACCAAAGATGCCAAGTCTGGCCCCAAGAAGAGGAAGAGCAAGCAGAGAGGGGCCGTGGTCCCCACGACGCCGGCCAGCCCTGTCCAGTAGCCGCCGTCCCGTCACTGGACACCAGACTTGGTTGCTGCTACGGACATGGAAGCTTTAAGGCACCAGAGCACCGCGCACCACATGCACCGCGATTGGGGGACACACGTAGAGCCAGGCGCACGGACTGTGGACGCCCGCGGCACGGCAGGGGCTGTAGCGTGAGGAGTGCCAGGACCAAGTGCTGCAGCTCTGGCAGCTGCCCAGCACCACCCACCAGGCCGGGCTCAGACTGAATCTCTGCTCTTCCAAAGGGTGGAGGCTGCAGCCTGCAGCAGCAGAGCCTCCTTCTCTTCCTCCCACCCTTTATTTTTTGTTTTAAGCTGTATGACTTCATCATTGAGAATACATGTTAAGCGTTTGTGATAAGAGGTCAGTGGTATCTGCCCTGAATGTACTTCAAAGAGTTATTTCAAATTTAAAAACAACAACAAAAACCAAAATGACAACCAGCTTCCTGAGTGTGTGGTTCATACCTTGGCCCCTATGGAGGCTGGTGTCCCACCAGACTGAGACTCACTCATGGAAGGGAAACTCACAAAAGCTTTAAGAAAGTCCCAGGAAGTGTTGCCAGCTGCATTGCAGCCACAAATCTGTCATAATTCGCACTCGGTCCCAGCTGTGCTCCAATAAGCCCCCTGGGGAATTTCCCATTAAAGGATCCAGTTAACATGCAGCAAATTGAGAAAATGAGAGGTAACAACAAACCCCAGGTTGCCTGAACACTGTGACTTTGCTCACGCAGTCTCAGCTCTGCAGCTCTGCTCCTGGGCCGGGGACAGGCTCGTCCACTTGCCCAGACACCGCTCAAACACATGGGAGAGGGAGCGATGGCGCAGGACAGCTCGGGCTGTGCAGGAGCAGCACAGACTGCCACGCTTAGACAAAGCTACTGCTCACTGTGTCACCAACTGGAATCCCTGGACCAGCACAAGGCGCCTTCCCAGTGGGACGGACCTGCGGGCAGAAGGACCAGGATGCAGACGCACTGGATGGAGACTTAGGAAGCCTGGCGTGGGGACACGTGTCACACTACCTTCCACATACACCCTCGACAGCGTAAGGAGGGGCGCATTGCTCAGTTTCCTTTGTATTTCAAAACGTGCTTCCTTGATATAAATACCTGCATACACATCATTCCTGTAAAGCTCGCCAATGGACCCGTGGTCCCGCAGGATGAGCCGGTGCTTCCCATAACGGTGCCTGGTGCAGCGGGAGGTGCCGGAGGGGCATAGGCTCCGGAGCCCCAGGCTGAAGGGCTGGCGACCCGGCTTGCTTTGGGCCCCTGCCCTGCCTCGGTGACAAGGTGCCTTCCCCGCCAGGCCAGTCCGGTGCTCTTCCATGAAGAGCGGGCCGTATAGTGCTCTTGGGGAGAATTCAGACCTTACGATTCTAGCCAAAGGCAGCGACGCTCTCTCTTTGCCCTACTCCCTTTGCTGCTATTTGGGCTTAGTTCAGCATGTGGGAGCTGCATAGTTGTTCCAGCTCCAGAGCTGTACCAAGCTCTCCGTGACTGCTTGCTGGCAGCAAAGCCTTTCAGACCATCATCCACTTTGTGTTTAAGTAAACAAGAAGCCGTTATATCTTTTAAAGGGGATTCCATTTCAGCACAATGATAAACGACCAGCATACCAAGCAGGGAGAGAAAGAGGTTCTTAAAAGTCATCCTTCAAATTGTTTATGGATCATGTTCAGGCGATTCCTGACAGTCTCCCAGTCGACAGATCAGATCTCACTTTATTTTCTAGTCTGTGAGATAAGCATTTTGTTTGTGCCATGGCATTGCATGTAACCAGAATCTGTTTTTTTCTCTCCTTCTGCTCTTTAGCAGCAATAATCAGTAACCCTTTTGTGAACCTCAGCTTGCTAATTCATGCCCTACTCCTCCTCCCCTCCTGCTTCAGTATCTCGATCCAGTTCTCAACAGGGATTAAAGAGAAGAGAGAGTGCATTAGTAAGGTTTTATACCACTAAGGTTCTGCCAGCTGACTGGATTCCCTACAGTAACTCATGTCAATATTAGCGTAAATATTTCCAAATGAAACTACCTATTATAAATCAACACAGCATATTTTAAAGAATTTGCTAGAGTTTTTAGAAAAATTGAACTTCTCCTTTCTGTTCTACCCTTTTCCCTTCTCTCTTCCTTTTCGTAGCACAACAGGAAAAAAAAAAAGGGGGGGAGAAAGGCAAAGGAAAGTTTAAAATGTATATTAAGAAAATCCAAGATTTTAAAGTAAGGTTGAATTTTAACTGAAATTGTTTTAGAAAAATTAGGAGGAAAATATTTTTTAAAAAATCAAATTTCTTCCTCCTCTTCTTTTAATCAGCTTGAGAATTGTGCTTATTTCCACTCCCAGCAAGCTGGGTTGTTTACGAATTTAGAAGCATTTTGGCTTTGACCAACTCGATTTGCACGCTGGGCTCAACAGGCCGAACTTGAGGCTTCTCTACATGGGTGAACGTCATCTCAACTCACATGCATTTGGACGCTCTCTTTCAGCCCACCAAATAAAACCTGTCGTGGTGTTCTCTCTGTGGCATCACTGTAAAATATGCTTCTTTAAATAAATAAATGGGCTTGCTGAACAAGCTTTGTTTGCTTTATTCACCAATACTGGGGTTAAATCGCAACTATTCTAGAAAGTAAGAAAGACTCTTCTAATGTAATTTTCTACCCACTGCCATCCAGAAGATAAATGCACCTGTATAACTCTTGGCATGAAGATATTACTGCTGATGGACTCTGCAGGGGTTCATGTTCTGTAGTTCAATCACCTATTTGTGGAAGTGGACATATAGGCAGCTAGGTAGGTAAAACCATCATCAGAAACTCATTTGCACAGAATAAGCCTTTATTTAGACTGCTGAGAATAAGCCTTTATTTACACTGTTGAAGCAATCGATGTTTACCCACTGGCCAGATTTCTACCCCAAATTTGCAGGATGCTTTCTAGGGAGTTTACGTAACTTTTGTTACTTTTTCCTGCATAATGGGTAGCAAAGGGCAGGTAGCATTAACAGCTTACACTTGTGGGTTTGGCACTGTTTCATTTCCATCTCATTTGCTGAGATTTAGGAGCTGGGGCAGACAAATTTCAGCAAACACATTGCTTGCAGCGTGGTCTTGCCCTCTCTGTGTAATACCAACCCATACTCTTCATCAGCTGCAGTCAAGTTGAATGTGTGCATACATTCTCCTCAAGCAATAATTTACTAGCCTTCCACCTCCATGGAGATGGAAGCAGTGTATATACTTTTTAGCTCATGTTTATGTTAAAATGATTTCTCACTCAGAAGAAATCTGTTTTGATTACAGGAAATATAGCAGTATAGAGAAACTGGTTATTCTTAATGCTATTATTTAGGTTATAGTGTCTGAAAACATTAGAGGTGATATTTTATAGTAAGTAAAACACTTCTTTTCTTTAGAGAAGTGTTAGGCCTAACACTTAAAAAAACCCCTCTATTCAAATTACAAAAATACCAGGTATATATAACAATTCACTATAAATAAATCATTCCAATGGCATTTATACACGTGATAATATATTGCATCCTACTGAATGCCAAACGATAGTTTAGATGGAGCAGTTTGCCGGAATCTCCTGGAGCAGCAGGACCTTGGTGAAAAAAACAGGCAAACGGTAGGTAATATAGTTACTTGCAGCAAAAGCAGAGCGGCTGGTCAGACTCTTGCCCGTCTTTCAGAACGGACATGTCTGCAAAAGGCCACAGGAAATCTAAGGAGACATCAGGCTAAAATACACGGTGTAATGTGTATTTTGCACAGATTTCTCGAAAAGTAGCCACCTTTCATGACTATTAAAGTCATGTTACGAAGGGAATAGCTAAATCCAGGGCAATGAGATCTGGGAGGGCTCGGAGGGCTCTTCTTTCTCCTCTTGTGGAGTCATCAAGCCTCGTGGTGCCTTTTGCCAGGGTGCCCTGCCTCTCCTGCCAGCTGTACCCCTGAAAACCAATTCCTGCCAAAATGGATTGGGTGTTAAACAGTCCAAGGTACCCTCTGCTAGTGCTTTGAAAGGTTTTGAAAGGCAGCTCTGGAAGCCAGTTCTGCCTTTGTACTCTGCAGGGAACCACTGCAACAGCGAGAGTAAGATGGCTGATGTTGCCTATTAAAATAAAACAAAGTCGCTCAATACCACACTGAAAAACTTCTCTGAGTACAAGTCCAGTCTTGTTCTAAAGTCTTGGAAATCTATTTTCCCTTCATTTAATTGACAAAATCTGTAGATCATACAAGGAAGATGCTCCCTGCCAAAAATCAAACCTCACTACTTTTTAATAATACAATGGGAATAACCCCTTAGAACATATGTAATTATGGCAATGAGTCATTTTGATGGCATCACATAACCGCATTCACTGGGGCTTTGACAAGGAAGAGGCCACATCAAATTCCCAACGATTGCAGCTCAACAATGGCCGGGCTCATCCTGCTGATGCAGCGGGGGTGGCTTGGCAGACGCCATGGGCCTGGCCTCTATCACGCAGCCCCCCGTCCCGGCGGGCATGCAGTGCCGACAATGCTCTGCTGGAGCCTGTTTCACACCAAAAGAGAAAAGAAGAAAGTTAAGAAATTAAATGGGAGCATTTAACTCTGCAGCTCCAGCAAACACCAAGCTTGGACACTGTGCATCTCCATACAAGGTGTCTTGTACGTACACTCATACAGGGTGTTATCAAGCGCTACGGCGCGGCGGTACCGCGCGTTAACAACAGCAGCAGTGTGGTTCTGCTAAGAAAAGGCGAGCGAGGAGAGCACAGCGAGGGGGGTTATTCCATTCGAACACGTCCCCCGTAGGCACGGAGCAGCACACGGCTTCCCGACAGCAGGAGATGCAGCATCGTGGCTCGCTTGGACTTGCACGACAGAGCCACACGGAGCAAGTGGCGCTGCCAAAGCCGGCAAATGCCACAGTCGGCTCGGGGATGGTCCGAGAAAAGCCCTGGGCAGCAGGACATCCCAATGTCCGAAGGCAGCTATTTCTATTCTTTCAAAGACAAGACACAGTAATTTTCTGGCCACATTCCAAGATACTTTGTTAACAATAAAAAGAGTGTTTTCTTAAGGAAAATGAAAAAAAAAAAAAAAGAGTGGGGGAGAATAGGGCAAGTATTACTCAACTATTTAGTCTAAAATCTGAAAATCAAAAGCATCTTCTGACAGATTGATATCAACTCTAATAGAAAACACACTTGTCCTGGGAAAACTCTGCTACATAAGCCTCGAGTCTGATAGCTTAAACAATTATCTGCAATTTGGAATTAATTTTTTATGCCCACATCAATGTGTATTTTTGAAGTGCCCAAGGCATAGATAATTCCATTAAGAGGAAAAACAGAAATCCTAGGCTTAACAAAAACAGAGCCGACATTGAATCCCCGCCGTCTTACAAAACAGCTCCGAAGCCCCAGCTAATTAGGAGGATTTGCCTGACAGGCACCGCGAGCCCCAAGGGCAAAACGCTGGAAATCACCGGGGAGCGACACCCCGAGGGCGCCGCCGCTGTCCCGGGCGGCCCGGAGTGGGCGGCTCCGGCCCGGGCGCTGTCGCTCCGGGGCTCCCGGCGGCGCCGCCGCCCGCTCGCGCCCGACCTCCCCCACCCCCCCGCGATGGGAACAGCGACGGTAACGGTCGCGGCGAGGGGCCCAGGCATCTGCGGGGGGCGGAACCCGGTACCTGGGCGCCCCGTTTCCCCCTTAGCACAACCCTATACGAGCGAGAGGAGGGTGTGTTGCCATGGCGACGCCGTTCCGGCGCGCCGCGCGTTGCCATGGCGCTTGCCCTGCCGGGGCGGGGCAACCGGGGGCTGGGGCGCGCGGCCGGAAGTGAGGAGCCGTCGGAAGCGACGTAGATCCCCGGAAGTCGTGGTTGTGGGGCCGCGCGCTGGCGCGGCGTGTGTGGCCGCGCGGTCCTTCCTGGGTTTCGTGTCCCGAATCCCGAGTCCCGTTTCCACTGTTCAGCCGCGCCGCGAGGCCCCCGCCGCCGCCATGGTGAAGCCACGCTACAAGGGCCGCAGCACCATCAACCCGTCCCGCGCCAGCACCAACCCCGGTAGGAGCGGGGCCGACGGCGGGGTGCGGGCCGGGCCGGGCCGGGCCAGGCCGGGCTGCGCTTGAGGCCGTTCTGTCTCCGCAGATCGCGTGGCGGGCGCGGGTGGGCACAACATGCGGGACCGCGCCACGATCCGCCGCCTCAACATGTACCGGCAGAAGGAGCGCAGGTGAGCGCGGCGCCCCGCGAGCCCCGCGTCGCTTGTGGGAGCCATCGGGAGGTTTCGTTGAATCGGCTGCAGCGCCAGGTGCTTCTGGGGCCGCTTGTGGGGAGACTCACAGTTGTCCCTCCCGTGGTAGTGGTAGTTGTTGCACCATCGCATGAGTGTGTCCCCAGGTAGACTTTATAGCTGTGCACGGTTCGTTGTGCACAGTGTGTTGGGATGGGTGGACGTGCAGGGAATGGAATCCATGGACACTCCTGGGAAAAGTGAAGGCTCCTGCGTGTGTTGGGGGCAGTGAAGCTGCCTCGCGGTTCAGAGGTGCCTGGGGAGGCACTGGCTGCGTGGCCCAGGATGCACAGGGTGAGGACTGCCCTGGCTCTGTGACCCCGTCCCAGTGTGAGGGCCCATGCTCCAGTTCTGCCGTTGCTCCCGTTCGCCTGCCGACGCTGCTCGGTGTTACAGGCTGCCGGGGACCCTTCCACGGGAGCCTTTCTGGATTCATGCAGTTTTGTGGGTTCTTCCGGAGGAGGTTTCTGGTCTAGCCAGCAGCCTTTGTCAGAGGGGTGGGTGCTGCCCTTGAGCGTTTATATGTGTTCTCATTTGTTGCTCAGAAACAAGCGTGGCAAAGTGATTAAGCCTCTGCAGTACCAATCGACAGTGGCCCCAGGCACTGTTGCGAGAGTGGAGCCCAGTATTAAGTGGTTTGGTGAGTTCTTCAACTTTCAGACTTGACAAGTTTAAACTGTTGAACTTGGGATGTTTGGAGGGTGGTTTGTGCCACAATCCAGTGTCTATGCTCTGTAGGACGCATACCAAAGGTGAAGGGGCCTCACTGTAGGTTGGTGTATAGGGTAATATGAGATGATGGGATATGTCGTATATTGTGTATGTACCTCAACATGCAGTGTTTGATTTCTGCATGCTGCTTCAAAGCGTGTTTGTTTTGTCCACTTCGGACGTTTGGGTTTGCCTGTATGTGTGGATGTATGTTGTGGCTTAGGTATGTTAGGTGCAGTATGCATCCTCTATTTTTTTGTGCCTAGTATTTTTGATTCCAAATGGAGAACTAATGTTTCCCTATTTATTAGCCTATCCTTGATTTTGGAAACATTTATCCCAGGGAGTGGTGCTGTGCAAGAGACAGGCATGTGTATGTGTATATATATATGTGTGTGTTTTACATGCAGGAAATACTCGTGTGATCAAGCAGTCATCCTTGCAGAAATTTCAGGAAGAGATGGAAACTGTCATGAAAGATCCTTACAGAGTGGTGATGAAGCAAAGCAAGTTACCCATGTCCCTCTTCCATGATCGGATCAAACCTCATGTGTGTGTTGTTCATCCGAGTAGGGTGTAGGCTGGGTTATGAGCATGAGCTGTCATGAATATTCTTTTCCTTTGGAGGTGGTGCTGTATGTGTTCAGCCTGGTGAAATGCTCTTTGATACCCTCTGCAAGTAGAGGGATCATTTTGGGCAAATCACCCCTTTTCTGGATGGGAAAGGATATTCTTGAGCCTATCAGTTGGACAGCAAATATAGAGATATAGCATATTACTTCCCTGTATTTTGTGAGAAGATCTGTAGTATTTATAAGGAATTCTCATTTCCTGTTAGGAAAATGGCAGCTTAGGATGACTGTAGCTGCTTGTCACCTCATGTTCTACCATTTCTAATAGTCCATGTCATACTTAAACTTTTTTTGAGCCAGCCTCACTCTGCTAGTGCTCTTACGTGATGAGTTTGAACTCCAGGATGTACTTTTTATCTTGAGGCAAAAATTGTTTTGCATGTGAACTTCACTGCAAGCAGATCTAGTGTTTTAATACTAGGTTTCTTTTGTGATGTCTAAACTGTTATTTTGGACTCCCACTAGATATTTTTCACATGGAAACTTTCCAGGTTTATGTAATAACATTTTTCCTTAATTTAAGTAAGCTTTTTATTGGGAACTAAAATGTGCATTACAAAAACAAACAAGTCCTTTTAGCTGAAATTATATGCACTTCCAGGAGAAGTTGGCATTCATTACAGGCCACTACACCCTACACTAAACCCTACAGTTTTGACTGTAATCATCCTTGACAAAAATCTGAGAATTTGGCGAGATTTGTGCATTTGTTAGAAAAAAAAAATGATCAAAGATGACAGCTAAATTTTCATCATTGTAGCCTTAATTACATTTGATGATATTCATGGTGAAAGAACTGAAGCATAGTTCTTTGGCAAGTGCAATGTGTTTTGTTGCTTATTAAATATCCACACTTAGTTTCTCAGAGATTAAGTTGAGAAATTCAAACATGGTTAGGAAAATGCCTGTAACTCCTGTCAGGGGTTGCACAGTAGCACTGAGGTCTTGCACGCTGCATGTCATGGGCCTGGGGGAACAGTTTGTGGGTTTTTTTTTTTCTTTTTTAACCAACTTTTCTTTTGTTAGACCTCCAGAGTTCACATTCTTGATACAGAAACATTTGAAACAACCTTTGGCCCCAAATCACAAAGGAAGAAACCCACTCTTTCTGCAAGTGATGTGCAGTCTCTGCTGGAGAATGCAGAAGCCTCAACAGAAACTTACGATCAGGACAAGGACCGGGACCTCGTGATAGAAGACACTGGTGTAAGGTAAATAGCAAGAAGTTATTCATTGTTTGCACTTCTAACAGCCAGCTCTATTCAAAAAAAGAAAAAAGTTTTCTAGACATGTCTTGATATGGATATGAGCATATGATTAACATATGAGGAGTATATAAGCAAAATTTGTCCGACATTTTATAACCTTGTTTTATTCGTATTTATTTAAGCTAGTGGTTGTGTCTAGGGGTGCCTTCTGTCTTTGTTAGTAATTCATTAGACTTTTGCATGTCTGACTATCCCTAAACAGAGATTTTGCATTAGACAGGAAACCAGATAATATGTAGATATAACCCTCTAAACCAGGATGTGTTTGTAGAATCTTCCTTAAGGCTGAGAGAGCTGGGTCTGTTCAGCCTGGAGAAGAGAAGGCTGAGGGGGTACCTGATCAGCGTGTATAAATACCTCGAGGGAGGGAGGAGGAGGAGGCCGGCCTCTTTTCAGTGGTGGACAGTGATAGGACTAGAGGAAGTGGCTTCAAACTGAAGCATCGGAACTTAAGGAAGCATTTCTTCACTGTGAGGGTGACAAAGCACTGGAACAGGCTGCCCAGAGAGATTGTGGAGTCTCCTTCTTTGGAGATCTTTAAAACCCGCTTGGATGCAGCCCTGTGCCACATGCTCTAGGTGACCCTGTGTGTGCAGGGGGGTTGGACTTGATGACCTCTGAGGTCCCTTCCAACCTTGGGCATTCTATGATTCTATGAGTGGATTAAAAAAAAAAACAGCAAAATCTGAGGCCTGTGTTATTTGGGCCTCGCTTCCTGTGTCTGCAAATTACTTTGGAGAAGATGACACAGTAACTCCCACTGGGATTGCTGATTTCTCTGGTAATTCACTTCCAGGGATGAAGCACAAGAAGAAATATTTAAGAAGGGACAGTCCAAAAGAATCTGGGGTGAGCTCTACAAGGTAAGCAACACTTACGGTTTACAACAGACACACATCTACTTTTGTGTTTATTAAGTCACATAGCTTTT